AATTAACCAATCATAGTTGTATTTTCCTTTTATTCCACTAAAAAAGAATACTCGACCGCGATTAGTCAATTCTTATCGATCAAAATCTATGAATTTGTTCACTAGTAATTTTCATCTCATTTCAAGATACACAATCAACCCCCAGGGGCCCTATTCTTGGGCACGTACGAATAATTTTCACATACGAAAATGATAGTTTCTCGACTGTGATTGGTCGATTGTATACGGAATTGCTATTTTCGTATGCGATATTTGTTCAAGAATAGGGCCCCCGATATTTTATACACACATCCATTTCATGATCGGTACCATCAAAAGTTCGAAACAGTCACGCTACTGCCACAGACTGTGCTACTGCATAATTGTACAATACGTGCAATGAGACGCCGAGTATCTTACGTTAAAATTTCGTGGTTCAAGACTTCAATGGCTCGCGGTTGTTGTTCATATAATTTGTAATAGCTGTAAGATAATAGAACGCGAGAGTATCGCAGAACTTGGAAGGACCGTCTTGCAATCTTTGTGTCGGGATTTCATTGCGATGGCCGAAAATCGGGACGCGATACTAGCTGACTTTCAGGTAAATTGATGGATTTAGAAGCTTCTCACAAACGCAACGCAAATACACTCTTAGGTTATGGAGTTACGTGTACATGACATTGACAATAATTTGTTTGCATTTGAGGCGAGAGCTTTCCCGAGAGATCCAATAAACTTTCCTCGCAATATTCCAAAAATTAACGGTGTATTCCAATGTATGACTTGTATCGGTCAAATCGCGCTGACACCGTGATTTACCAAAATTCACGAAAACTTCCGCTTAATTCCTTTGTTATGTCGTCTTGCATCTTGCATGCCTTTGTTTTGAAACCTGAAGAATTCTCAGACGAATATCGATGACGTATCTTAGTATAAATACCACTGTGATTTTTTTATTTTGCGTTCTATCTTGTATTTGTCTTTTAAATTAAATTATTTTTAGGCTTGTACTGGAATTGACGATTTCGGAGAAGCGATTTTATATTTGGAACAAACAAATTGGGATTTATTGGTAAATATAAATATAATGAAAGCGTAAAGTGTTTTTTCAGCAAGTGACACAGATGATGTAATATAATATAGAATGCTTTCCAGCAAGAAACACAGATGATACTGTGTAACACAGTGTATTATTATATTCTTATTATTTGTCAATGTTAAATAAAGGTGAAATGATCACTGTGATATTATGGGTCTGTTTTCTGTTCTTGCACTAAACTGCACTAGAACTCTCTTTCTCAGCTTTCGACAAATATCAAACATACACTTTTCTCACTTTAAGTTCCAAAAGTGTACACTAGTTCAGCCACAAAAAACAGATCTTATATTTCTTGCTGGAAAGCTCCAATAATAAGTTATTATATCTTTGTTGTTTATCAATGTTAAACAAAGATGAAATGATTCATTGTTACAATGAATCATCTATTTCTTGTTGGAAAGCATCCATAATTGCAATAACTTTGATGATAATTATCTCAACATATATCTTTTCATTTAGGCTGCGATAAACAAGGCTATGCCCCAGACTACGCAGCAGCTTCCATCTGAAATGGCTCCTGATATAGAAATGGTAGAAGAAATTAAAGTAACACCACTTTCATCGTCGTCTTCATCAAAGTTAGAAACCGTGCAGAATTCAAAAAAGACAGGAGCCGTGAAAGCAGACCTAGTAGAAAGTGCAAAACCTGGAACAAGTAGACCTAAAAGTTGCATGAAGAATAGACAACTTACATTCCACATTAACTATCTCGATAACGTTTATAAAATAAATTTGTCAGATTTATCCACTTTGAGTAAGCGAAAATTGTTGATATTTAGACTATTTTGGTAATTAATAAAAATTTAATGATTTACAAATCAAATTATTTTATATGTTCTTTTTTTTTCAGGAGATCTTAAGCAATTTATATGGTGTAAAACAACTGTACCACCTTGTCAACAGAAACTTCATGGATGGAAAAAGGAATTTGCAAATATGACACCGAATACTGTGCTGCAAACGTTAGATCTTCCTAGAGAAAATACATTGTATCTACAATCATCTTTGCCACAAGACGGTGACTTGTCTAATGAGACGTAAGTTGTAAAATTTTGTCGATGTAATTTTTTAATTGATATAATCACAAATTTACATTTTTTTATTTCAGCGTTATTCTGTCAGATCGTATGACTCAGACATACACGTTAAATGTCAAGGACGAAGTGCATAATAAAACATACAAGTTGAAGTTTCCTGGTACACGTACTGTACTAGAAGTGAAGACGGACATCTACTCGTTAATTGATGTACCTGTACGAAATCAACAGTGGAAGGGTTGGCCTAGTTCATTGAAGGACGATAATGTAATATTGGCACAAAGTGGTATATGTTATCCGGAGCATGATTTATCCGTCGGAAAGCTTCCAGCGAAGGAAGAAAAGAAGGTAACGTCTCGTCGGAGAAATAAATTTTTTTTTCTATTAATTTATATATAAAATTATAATACATTTGTATATATATATTTTATATTTCAGAAAGTCGTAGATCTAATTGACAGCGATAGTTCAATAGATGAACCAGAGGATGTGGAAGAATTTGATGTTCCAGAAGAGTTTACTGGCGATGATGATATTTTCATAGACGATGTTAAACCCACTAAGATAGAACGTCTCAGTGAGTATTTTGTATCATAAGGAAACTGCTGTTTCATTGAAGTGATATATGTCAGTATCACAATTCAATGTGATATATTTTTTTTATTTATAAACAGTGCCAGAAAATGTAGTAGATGAGGTGATGGGTACATTACATTTTGCGGAACAATTCGAAAAGCGATACGGACCGGCGCACCCCGAATTCTTTACTGGTACATTCGAAGATGCCCTGAAGGAATCATGTCTAAAACCAGCGAAAGAGGTTTGTTCTAAGTATTGAAAAAAAAAACGCAGTAAATATGTAAAACCAGATGGAAATATATAATTTTATATTATTACAGAGAAAATTATTGGCTGTATATTTGCACCATGATAACAGTGTATTAGCAAATGTCTTTTGTACTCAACTGTTAGGCTTCGAAACGGTGCTTCAACTTCTTTCGGCAAATTTTATAGTATGGGGTTGGGACATCACATACGAATCTAACAAAGAAAGGTAAAATTTATACAAATATGCGATGTTAAATTTTTCGAGCTTGCGCTAATTAAATGTTCGTTTGATTCTCAGATTTTTGTATTCTGTAACTCAAACCCTTGGTACTGTTGGTTCATTGGCTGTGTCGAGCATAGATGTTGATACCTTGCCAGTTCTTATGATTATTATGAGATCTAGATCTAACACAGAGATATTTACTATCGTACACGGCAATGTAGGTGTTAACGAGTTATTAACGAATTTGGTACAAGCCGTCGATGTATTTCAAGTGAGAAATGTAGCTTTTATTTTATACACACACATACTGTTAAAAAATAACAGTATGGGTATAAATATAGATTTCGATTTATACAACTTATTTTTTTTGTTGAAATAGGAACAAAGACGAGCTGATATTGGCGTTGAAGAAGAACGACAGGCTAGAGAAAGAGTCAAACAAGAACAAGACAGAGCATATCAAGAAAGTTTGGCAGCTGATAGGTAATTTAAAAAAATATGGTTGGAAGAAGAAGGAAGAAAAGATATATCTATACATATATGTATGTATAAACGATTTACATTGAATAAAAAATGTAATGTTCATAATTTATTTTAAGAGCAAAAGAAGAAGCGAAACAGATGCAAGAGGAGCTTGAAAAGAAAAAGAAAGAGCAGGCTGAAAACGAAAGATTAGCTGAAGAAGCGAGAAAAGAAGCTCATAGACAAGCTGTAGAGTCTAGTTTACCACCTGAACCGCAACAGGGAGCGGGCGATGGCGTAATGAAAGTAAGAGTACGGCTTCCAGCAGGAAAATTCCTGGAACGTAAATTTCAATCAGATACGCCGTTACAAACGCTCTTTAATTTCCTTATTGTGGAAGGTTATCCTACAGAAGAATATAAGCTCCTATCTAGTTGGCCTCGAAGGGATGTAAGTAGATGATGTAAGCATTTAAGTCTTATTATGTAGATCAGGCATGTTTAACTTTAGCTCCCCAGAGCCGAAACACTTCTCTCACTTCATTTTCTCGCCAAGTGAGATAGAGAAGGTGGAGAGTGAGATAGATGCTGGAGCGCTAGCGTTACTGGCGTAAAGTTGGACGTTCCTGATGTAGATATTTATTTGATTTTTTTTTTATATCGTACTCTTTAAAATAAAAATTAAATTTTAAAACTTGAATAAAAACTAAATTTAAATAAAACCACTCTTAAAATTTATTAAACATAACTATAAAATATTTACGACACATATATGTATATATATTAAATATATTCTTCCTTGTTCCAGTTAACATCCATGGATTCAAAGCTCACTTTGATGGATCTGAAATTCTGTCCCCAGGAAACAGTAATTTTAGAGGAACGATAAAAATAATACGTTGTAATTAAATTCAAATGTAGAAATTAAGTGTCGCGAATATTCTTCAAGAATGTATTTATTTAACAACTTCGAGATAGCGATTATTGAGTCCTGTTTATCTTGCGACTATATACATTTTTACGCTGAATTTCTTATACGATCAAGTCGTATGTAACGCACTCCGCGTGAATACAATTTTTATTTTATAAAAAAAGAAAAAGTTCGTTCCATGCGTACATATATTATACACTTTAAATTTCCAGGAATAAATTGTGTTTCGAACGAATTCGATTTCGAGTAAAAACTGCCTTTGCTTATTATGAACTTATTGCAATTGGGTTATGTAAATAACGGGCAATATAATGGAATTCATATAGGGTATAATTTAATAAGGACATACACAAATCTATACACACATACACACACACATATATGTATATACATATGTATATATATATATACATATATATATATATATAAGATAAACACTTGTTACTCTATGAAATTAGTTTATTCTTCTTTCCTGCATTATAAATATAAAGACGCAGCAAACACAATATCCCGTTTTATAAGTTTGATCGCCTCGCTAAATTTATTTTCTAGATCTGTATTCCCAATACCTTTTGCAGCTTGGCACAATTGTCGAAGCACCTCTTCTAAACGCCGCATACACCTGATAATAGATCCTAAAATATTTGTTTTATGTACATACATATACATGTCACAGAAAAATGCTTCAATTTGTCATTATCTCAGTAATGAGGTATGCTAATATATACATATACATTACCTTCAAATATATCTGTCATTTTGCAAATTTGTAAAAATGTTGCGCCTTTACACCAAGCGTATATAACATCCATTAAATACGGCTTAAATCTGTCAACATATGCATCCTCATCTAATTCCAGATTGGCTTCTGTTGATACCTTTGCTATTCTGCGAGCCAAATCCTGCATCTGCCTAAGTGGACCGCTTAATTCCTCTGTACTTTTAGGCATTTCGTTTGATTTTTCGTCGCATACAAAGCAGCTGATCAATGCCACCATCTGTGGCACACTCAAAGCATTAAAAAGACCATTAAAAATCATCTCAGTCATTAATAGTTCATCGGCACCGTTCAGTTCACAAGCTACACGTCCTTTTAATTCTATAACGTCTGCCGATGTGCAATATGCCATTCTCCTTAGAACTCTCTTTCTGCATTTGAGTTCGTCCATCTGAAGTATCGATTTAGCCTGCTTAAATTCTTCCTTGGCTTGCTTAAGTTGCGCAGCCAATTCTTCTTTGTGCAAAAATTGTTCATATAATACATTTACGTTGGGATCCTATAAATATAGATTTTTTAAAAATTCAGAATTTTTCTCAAAATGGAATTAAAATAAAAACACATTTAAAAATTAAGATATTCCATATAATAAAAAATTTTCAGAACATTTTAACATAAGATACTTTAAATATAAATATTTTAAGCACAAAAAATGTACTGCCAGAATATAGAAACTATCTCTTACTTTATGCAAAGAATGTGCATATAATCTTTTTTCTAACGCTTCAATTTTTTTTACAATATCTTTAAAAGCCTGATCCTCTATATGCATATCTGTAATAGGATTAAGTAACGGTGGACCGTCCGGGAATCTTTTTTTCACTTATCGTATTGTCTTCAATACACATCTTTTGGATAATATAATCTTAGTGAACTGATTTGTGAAATTAAATTATGTAAAACAGGAACTACTTCCATTTCGCCTTCTTCATTTTCGCGACAGGGAATTGGACTGCCTTCTTTAGAATTTTTCGATAAATAAAGTAAAACATCAATGACAATAACAGTCTTGCCTTTTACTGGATTTTTTGGATTTTTTTTCTTAAAATTCACTATGATACCCCAATCGAACGTTTCGATTTCATTTTTTACCTACAATAATAATAATGCATAACAAATAAATTTCGCTAAAAAAAATTCATCAGAAATGATCAGTGCATTAATTAAAAAATATGTACTTTTACTAATCTTCCAGGTTGTAAAAACGGAACTAAATACTCCGGTTGCGTTAGAAATGATTGAAACTCTCCACTCAGTCGATTGAGTTGTTCACGTATGTCATGATACGAAGAAATCTCTTCGTACCTATCTACATTCACAGTATTGTAAGCGGTACTTAATTCCTTTACCTCTGAAAACGTAATCAAGATTACCAATTTATTTTCAGCAATTGTTTAGCCCTTATTTTGTAATTTTTAATGACTCTTAATGATGACTTATCGATGACATTACGTCGTCATTGTGCGAGTAAATCTTTATACATAGTAAAAAAGATAGGACAATACAACTATACTGATATAATTAGCTCCAAAACAGAGGCTCTGATAACATTAAAATAAGCGATGATAACTTACTGTTGTACAAAACTGGAATACCAGCTTGATTCTGAAACTGAAAAAAGCTTCTTTCCAACATGTATTCAGGATTAATCTCTTCCACTCGTAGAAGATTAAGAACCATATTATAAGTCAAATGAAATGCGGAATTGATTGGATCTGGCTTTCCTTGAACGATAGCTTTACCAACGACGGGACTAACTTGCTCGTCTATCATCAATATGACAATCCCTTTGTCGTCGAGACCTCTCCTGCCAGCGCGACCGGACATCTGGATGTATTCACCCGACGTGATCCAACGAAAGTCTTTGCCATCGAATTTACGAGGTGCCGTGAACAAGACCGTCCGTGCCGGCATATTCAAGCCCATCGCGAATGTTTCAGTGGCAAAAAGGGCTTTGATTAAACCTTCGCCGAATAATATCTCGACCGTCTCCTTCAAGATTGGCAAGAGTCCACCATGGTGGATTCCTATTCCACGCCGCAAAAGTGGCAGCAAATTTGTAACTTGTGGTAACTTTTTGTCCTCATCGTTGAGGACGTCTACCGCATTGTTAAAAACCTCATCTACTAGTTTTTTCTCTTCTAACGTATTCAAATCCAGTTTAGCCATCTGCATTGCGTAAACCTCGCAATCTTTTTTCGAAAAGCTAAAGATTATCACGGGCGCGAAGTTTCTCTCCATGATCATTTTTACCATCTTGAAAATATTTGTTTGTCCACTGTTCGTGGCACGTAGACCACCTTTGCGTCCTTTTGTGTCACCTTTAGCTGCGTCACCCATATTTTGCAGACACGCCATGGCTCTGTTAAAATTTTCTTCTTTAAATTGACCCATTTCATCTACAACCTGTTTTAGAATAAGTAACTTTAATACATATAAATAGACAGCGCATTTTTTTTTATCAAACATGACTTTTCATTACAGATTATCACTAACCAGATGTATACCGTCGCCGCCAACTGGAAATATATAATGTTGCAACGGTGTAGGCCTATAGTCCGTAGAGACTACATGGCAAGGTTGATGATGCAAATGTACTACCCATTCTGCGAATTGTCGTGCGTTTGGTATAGTAGCAGAAAGAAATACATAGTGCACATTGTCTGGCAGCAATATAAGTGTTTCTTCCCAAACTACGCCTCTCTCTTTATCACGCATATAATGAATCTCATCAAAAATTACCCAACCAACTTCACGCATTACCTGTACAATAAGTACTGTATTAATTAGACTTTTATATTTTTCTTTCTATACAGGATGTTCTATACAATCTTTAATAAAATTTTATAAATAAATATCAACCCTTATATTAGCTAAATAATTTTCTACTGGAGATATTAATGTCATTTCTTGAAAATATTTGTTTATATTTGTTATTAATATTACATTATGATATATATATATCACAATAAATTATGAAATAGAATAAAACAAACCTCTGAACCCCTATAGAGCATATTTCGCAAAATTTCAGTAGTCATGATTAATACACTCGCTGTCGGATTTATAGTAACATCGCCGGTTACTAAACCAACATCCTTAAATTCCTCGTAAAATTCTCTATATTTCTGATTACTCAACGCTTTAATTGGAGTAGTATATATTACTCTCTGTTTATCCTTAAGCGAACATGCTATTGCATATCTTTAAGATATATATAAGATGGTAGAATGAAATCATTAAAAAAAAATCATTTAGGAAATGCAATCAAAATATGAAATATTTACTCAGCCACGACAGTTTTACCAGCCGACGTATGTGCAGAGACAAGAACTGACTGATTGTTTTCAATGCATAAAATTGCTTCCTTTTGAAATGGATCGAGTATGAATTTATATTCTTTGGCTGGCTTGCCCTGTTGATGCTCCAAAGGTACATACTCTTGATCAGGAGGAATAGCAATCTCGTGCATACAAGATTCTACAGTTTCTACAGTATGCACTGTTATACGACATGCCACTTCCTCTAGACTAAAGAAATAATGTTGTGTATGTAATTATATTATATATTTTTTTGTAGTATAATTTCGGAATAATATAGATAAGTATGAACGTTATTAATTATATTAATAACTAATAATGTTAACTGCAATTTTATATGAATATTCCCATAACGTAATGAAAAGTTTTACTTGATATCATTCAAAACAGAATCGTGCCGCAATTTTTTTATGTTTGCTTTGTCATCATCGGCGTCAGAATGTCGCTTTACTCCTACTTCCGGCTTGATTTTCCTGGACAGTTTGTATAAATAAGTAATCCATAGACACACACACACACACATATAAGGTTAACGTTTATAGACGTTAGGTTAAATTCCGCAACAAAAATCGTTTCACATACTTCGGAATGTCCAGTATTTCTATTTCATCGCCGTGCTCATCAAAAACGTCAAACAAGTCTTCGCTAAAATTCGCCATTGTTTATTTAAAATTATTATTTCAATACTTCTCTCTCAACAAAAAATATTTAACAAACGCGTTTGCTTCCATCTGGAATAATGTTGCCACCATCGAAAAGGACTTTGTACCAACTGACTAACAAAAAATGTACCAGATAAAAGGTCTGTTCTTTTTGGCTGAACTTTTGCACCAGTTCATCTTTGTTCCTCTTTTTTCCTCTGGAAAGAAAAGGAAGAAAGATAAACTAGTGCAAAAGTTCAGCCAAAAAGAACAGGCCTATGATGTGCTCAGTTTGGATAAACCACACCCCTTTTGCGAGTCGAGATACCGTTCAGAGAGTCGATTGTGTATCTTAAAATGAGGTGAGAATTACAAAAGTGAGCAAATTCACTAATTATTGACCAATTAAATTATGAATATTCTAGTAAATTTGCTTATTTTTGTGATTTTCACCTCATTTCGAAATACACACTCGACTCCCTGGGCCCCTATTCTTGAAAAGTATCACATACGTAAAACTAGGGAAATGCTATAGTATACGTGACATATACTTAGTATTTCCCTAGTTTTACGTATGCGATACTTTTCAAGAATAGGAGCCTAGAGTCTTATGCTGGATTCACACTGCATCCGATTTTCAAAAAAAACTCTGCAACCAATCAGAAAACAGGATTCCGATGAATTTTGCTTCGTATTATCGGAATCCTGTTTTCTGATTGAATGCAAAGCGTCGTACGACGAAAATCGTATGCAGTGTGAATCTAGCATTAGGGCGGAATCCATAGATGTTGCTCAAGATTCGAGATGGTCTTAAGCTAAATGCATGAACCAATCAGAATATTAGCATCTTAAGACATTGCTTGAGATTAATGCCCGTATTCATAGATAGAGATTGAAGATTGAAGATTAAAATTTGACCAGTAAGGTCAAAGAAATTTTAGCATCTATTGTTTTGATTGGTCAAATTTCAATCTTTCAATCTTCAATCTCGATATTCAATGCGTAGTTTGATTCCGGCCTAGGGAGGTTCTCGCGCTACTTCCTAGTCAATAGACAGTTTATTCATAATAATATGCAAAACAATTAAAATAATTGAATAAAAAGATTACTAATAATATCTTATGCCATTATACGTAATTATTATTAATTTTATATGTTACTAAATATTTTCAAAATGACAAAATAAAAGTTGTAAGATGCTCATTTGATGTAAATGCATCGTCCATTTGATATATATTCTGGCTTTTTTCATTGAAGAATATAAATTTTTTGTAAACTGTACGGTCAGTTTAAATGAAACTTTACGAGAACAAACTTAAGTGTTTACTTTATAATTATAACGATTTTTAAATTGCTGTCTTATACGCAAATGTCTCAATTTAAAAGAGAATAACTACAGAATAAGGTTATACCTTCAATTTGTAATGTAAAATTCTATAAATGTAGAATTAAATATTTTCAAAATGGTATGATAAAAGTCAATGAAATTTTTTCTAAATATTATTGATATTATTATCTTTTGTTACATGTATATTATAGATTTGTCTTATATTTCATCAAACGCGAGAACCTCCTTAAATACCAATCGGTATTTAGACTGCGCGCGGGTTGATGAAGTGAGGGACAGAAACCAAGTTGAAAATCGGCCGAAATGTGCAATTAAATCCCAGCTCTGTTCTAAGGAAATGACAGATATCTTAACTTCTAAAGTCTCAAACTTTAACGCTTAATAACTCGATTCACAGAGCCGATCGCCATTTTTCTGCCAGATTCTTTCGTTTTAGGTGAAAACGCGTCGAACAAGACTAATTTTATCAAAATCGGAGGTAAGGAAACTTTTCAATCATTTCCGATTCATTTTAATGTCATTTTGACGTTATTGTGACTTGTTACTCTGCTTAATTGGGTAAGTATTGTTATTAGAAAATGATGCGCTATCATATATACATATGATATCTAGAAAGTATTATATATTTATCAGTTGAGATAATTCAATTACAAATGCTCTGTATTGAATATAAATTACAGTTACTACGCTTGTATTAAAAATATTTTACAACCGATGTGAAAGAGTGATATATTATGTCATATTATATAAATTATTTGTCGATTGTTATAGATAATTAATGTCTCAAAAGATTTTATCAATATAGCTTCTTCAGGCTATTAATGAAATATTGTGTATCATAAAATTATTGAAAATTATTAAAAATAATTAAAAATAGATAAATCACAAGACGGTAATAATAGACAAAAATAATTAGAAAGTTATATTAGTAAATGTAATGTTTTGCATCACATTTCGGCTTTTTGATTGATCGAATCAATGGTCACTTCAGGTGTATGTCTTTTACTGTGTAGTCAAACCGCTTGGCATAAGCTGCTTTGGCTTTCTTAAGATATTCTTTACGCTGTTCTATTAGTTTTTGAATTACAGATAAAGTGTCTGGATCTAGATTGACATTAGTATCTGTGAATGTTTGTATCTGAAACAGATTAATTTGAGATATAAATAGTAATTTATTTTTATGTAGCAATTCAGTAAACTATGATTTTTAATTTTACATGATATTAAAATAAGTGTGTGTGTGTATAGTATGTACAGATAATATATTTAACACCTTAGCTGCAAAAGAATATATAAGATATAAAAATATTGTTTTTTATTTGAGAAAAACGTCGCCGCGAATTAAATAAATTATTAATTCGTAGTAGGATGATTTTCTTGACACTTTTTAATTAAATCATCAATCTAATATTAATATATGAATTACAAAAATTCGATAAATATTTTAAAACACGCTGATATTATTCGATTTTGCAATGAGGTTTTCCTTAAAAGTATAAAATTACAGTCTAAATATTTAAACATCTCATTAATTATTAACATTAATTTAATTATATAAAATTCCATTAATTTATAATTCATATAACGAATAGTTTTTATTTTGAGCGCACCACAGATAAATCCAGTAATATTGCAGTAATATTGCATCGTTATACAAATGTTGTTGTAAGATTCTGTACTATATGGACTAATGCGCTATTCATAGTCACACATTATAAGGTTAATAAATATGTGAATCCAGAATCATAAAACTTACCTTATCAACTTGTTCGTTAGCGTAAATATTTTCAAGAATAAGTTTTATTATTGCAGGCATAGTAAGTAATCTATAACAACAAAATAACATGATCCTTATTAATAAATTTTTACGAATAAGAAAAAATACAATATGTATTTATCAATGTAAATATTATTACATAGGTTTTATAATTATAAAATTTTTTAATATGTAGTCGAGAATCATATCGTTGCGCACATGCTTTTCAAGAATATGTTCGAAAATAAAAGAATACTCTATATTGGAAAATAATGAAGTATTCCATGCTGCCATGTTTAAATAATTTATGATGATATCAGGATCTTCAATGCAACTCAAACTTTCGAATATTTGTATTCCAGATTTTTCCTTTTTTAAATTATTTTTTAGATATAATTCCAACATTTTATTCCAAGTAGTCCTATTGGCTGCCATCATACCAGTACAGTACATAAATAGTGAAATTCTAAAAATATACATAATTTATATATATATCATAGGTCTGTTTGCATTGCTTGAAATCTCCAAACATTTTTTTAACTTAAAATGAGAAATATATTTAGGTGTTTAAAAGAGAAAAAGCGAAGAATATGCTGAAAGTGCAAGCAACGCGAATAGACTTCACGAAAAAGTAGGTACATACATTTTAGGTGCATTCAGAATAACAATCGTTCATTGAGCGCTCAGTGAGCTCTTTCATTTGATTGGTCTATAATGGAATATGCCAATCAGATGAAAGAGCTCAGCAAACGATTGTCGTTCTGAATGAACGATTTCATCGGGTATAAAATGGGTGTATTTTATACTAAGATTTTATACGTACTCATTTTATACATATAACCGAGTCTCTATATTTTATTAAGTTATGTATTTTCACGTTCGGCTGTAACATATTCATATGCACGCGTGTGCACGCACATGTTACAAATATAATTTATGAGATAATCGTAAGTGTAAAATTTACTTGTGAATTTCATTGTGAGCGAGATGTTCACTTAATTTAACTGCGGTCATTTTCTTACATTCCTCGTGACCAAGAATACATGCCCATTGTAAGGCGTATAGCCTTGTCAGTTTTGTGATATGGTCATCATTAGGTCTTTCTACGTATCCTATGTACTGAAAAAGCTTGTCGAAGAGTTGCTTCAAGCGTATCTAAAAATTATGAGGCATATCGGTTCTTTGATACACTTGTGATCTGCATATAAGGATCTACATATAATAAGGATATATATACGTTAGTGCATTATCAATAGATTCACATCACATGGGAATTATAGGAGAATTTGTATTCCACTTTCACTAAGGAAAAGGTCACTGATAATAGATGTTAACTTATTTATGCTAGCGACAAATAATATCAAATTGACGCATTTCAATAACTCGAAGATTGATGACAAATGCTTTACCAGAGAAATATAGGTATCACTTGTGATGATATAATTTATATTACACATATTATGTCACATTATATCGCTATATATTTGTGTGATAGTGATTTTAACATGACATAAATGATAAGATGTGTAAAATTCGCTAGGCATTCAATATGTTAATTAGAACGAATACTACGTCTTCACAAAATAATTGTTTTACTCTTTTACACACTTCGTAGTTGTATATTCAATACTTTATATTGTTCTTCTTCATTACATTTATATTTTTCTTAATATTAACCTTTAGAATACGAAAACGTCAAGTACAAAAAAATCATAGTTTTAATTATAATATATATTACATAAATAAATATGTAAATAATATAACTTTATATAAATATGTTGGCTTTTAAAAAAAGTTTGCTGATTTTATCAAAATGCAGCCAATTTGTAGTTCGAAAAGAAATTAGGACATCCGCGTATTATACTTTATATAATTTTAACTGTTGTTTGTACGCTACCTTGAGAAATTGGACCTCAGGCAATAAAAGAGTCTTTGTCATAGTTTCTATAATTTGGAATAATGGCTGCCATACTACGTAATCTGTGTCTTCAAAGAGATAGCTTATCAACTTAATGAAAAAATGTCCATTCATTCGATTATCCAATACCATGGCAAGCGAATCAGTAATGATTTGAGCACGATTAAGAACGTGTATATTTGTATATTCTTTACTATTTAAGTAGTGTAAAATCTTTTTCCAATTTGTAATATCGTAACTAACACGATAGTATCCTGCATTATTCGTTACATTTATTACTAGACTATATTTTTAGTCGAATTTATTAAGATATATCAATTGAAATATCGGTAATTATTTAAAATATCCGCCCATCTAAAGTCTTAATTACCAAAATATCTATATTTTGTCTTTTTTTTTTAATGTAACAGGCGAATGTGTTGTATATACAAATATTATATTAAAGTATGAAAGTTGAGGATTAACAATTTTCAGACGACAAAAAATCTAAAATTGAAACATAAGACATTTTAAAGATGTCTTTTAGACGTCTTAAAGACACCCTCTTAAAAAATGTCATTACGATTTTTTCTAGGAGTTTTATGTCTCGTTTTTAGACATGAGTGTTGACTGGATTATTTTACGTTAATTCGGCGAAGTTCTAAAGAATTTAAATATGCAAGTTTTCTTTAAGCTTTTATAAATAAAGAAATAAATAAAATTGAATAATATAGAACTTCGTGATAATAGAATAAACAAAATAAATGAAAAAACGTAAAGGAGTCTCTATAAGGGCCGATTTCAGCACCCTCTAGATTTTGTTCAAACACATAAAAATCTATTTCCTGAAGTCAATTATATTCAATTAAAGTGATTTTAGCTTTAAAACGGAGCGATGGTGTTTCTGCACCCTCCAGATTTTGTTCAAACACATAAAAATCTATTTCTTGAAGTCAATTATACGATTCAATTAAAGTGATTTTAGCTTTAACGGAGGAATGGTGGTGCCATAGGAGTCTCCATAAGGCCGAAAACTGACTTTATGGGGACTCCTCTTTTGTTGATCAATACCAGTTTGTTGTAAATTGACAATAATCCAATCATTTGGATTAATTATAAAGTTTATATTATGTTGATCTGGTCGTAACCAATAACGAGGCACAGTATTGGAGAAATCCAGATTAGATTGCGTAGCGAAAGTTATAGGGATCCACCACTTAGTAGTTTTATTCTCAGTTTCATTATCTTTCCGGACACATATTTGTGATATTGTTACTTCACCAGTTTCGTAATTTCGCTCCACATGTACAAAAGGATAACGCTCTTGATTCATCCAAGTATCCATCACTTCTTTTATTCTGTAATCTTCATGCGGGATATCAGATTCGTCTAGAGCACTTTGCATAGCGCTCCACAAATCATCTGAAGTGGCTGTGCTAAATTGACTTTTAAAAAATGACTATTTTCAATAGAATTATACATCGTGGAATATAAATTAACTATTAAAAGATCTGTATGAATATTGATATATAATTGAATTTATAAATAAGTATACATGTAGAAACTTAAAATATAACTTAAGATTAATTTAAACTATATAAATTATAATTAAATATAGAAAGTGAAATGTAGGTCTTATAATTATAGTAAATATTAATATATATATATAATATTGAGTACCTAATTCATATTTCTGAAATATTATATTTTTCAATATGAATTTAAGTATTATCTTATATTCATGATACTAAATTGTGATATATTATATATATATATATTATATATATATATTTATATACATAATATATATAGTAAAACTATATTATATAAACTTACTGCTTGGCCAAATACGTAATGAGACCCTTTCGAAATACCTCAGTGGTAATTGTATTATGTAACATGCGCAATAAAACTGGCGCTACGATAATACACACCATAAAATATATATTAATAATACATTTAAAGTAGGTACATTTAACGTACATACGTAATTAATATGAATATATTATGTATGAAGATGCATTGCGCTAAATAAGTATTTGTTGGCTAATAGCCTACTGTCTTATCTTTTTCTTTGTACTAAACATTAAATTTAAAGAATCTATAAACAATAGCTAGTTTAATTTTATTTTCAAAATTTTACCTTTTTTATAAACTTCAGTAGAAAACAGCGACGAATGTTCATCAAGAGTATTGCCAAGCTTTAATGTGACAGAATTCAATGAGCCTGTATCTTTAAGAAAGCATTGTTGTATGTTCTGAATAATAAATAGATCCATTGTCCGCCAATCTTTGAAAATCTGAACAAAAAGAATGCTTTGATGTGACTGATTATTAAAAATTCGGAGAAAAGCTCGTATTAGAAATAAAAACTAATTCGTTTGCCACTTTCAAAAACAATGCTATTTTATTTCATAACACCTAGATTGTATTAATTCTTTCGCCTAACTTTTTTGAAGAAGAGAGAGCAGTGTCTGATTTATTTATTTTTAAAAATGTTGGAGATCATTTAATATGAAAATGACATTACTCAATATGGAAATGAAATCGAGATATAAAAATACGAGATATATTGAATTTTATTATTTAATTATTTTATTAAATGCTGAATATGGTGGATGCAAAGAATAAAATATTTTTGAATTCTAATGAAGATATTATCGGATTCAAAAGGAAGAGTAAAGCGCAATACATGACACTATTGCAAGTTAGAGTCACATAGGGCGGTATTCATAATCGATTCTTATATTTAAAACCGTCTTAAGTACAGTAAAATGTCATGAACCAATCAGAGGGCCACATTAGCGACTTAAGACATTACTTAAAACGCTCTTAAAATATGAATCGACTATGAATACTAGCCTACGAATACCGGCCATAGTCTCTTCTGTTCAATCCTATCCTCATCGCCCAATGGTGAATCCCGGTTACCTGAGCAACCCTGTGGAAGATCTCTCTGGTAACCAATCTCATTGAGAAGTAAGGTTAGGGCTGACGAGAAAGGGAGAAATGATCCTCCAATGAATAGAGGATTGGGCAAAAGGCTAACTACCTGCTTCTGGAAAAAAAATCTAGTTGTGAGTGTTCTAAGGAGAAAGGATCAATCAAACGAAGACGACAACGTAAAAGAAAGACATGAGCTGAAGATTGAGCAGATAGAGCAGGATATTAAAAATAAAGAATTGAAAAAGCAAGGCACGGAATAGATTAAAATGGCGGAAGGTCCTTGAACAGGCCAAAACCCATAAAGGGTTATCAAGCCAATGATGATGATGATTAATGAAGATATTATAATGTTCCTACGATTCCTATAAATATGAAAATAATCTTTAAATATAAAAAAATTAAAATAAAAGTTTTTCAATTTATAACAAAATACGAAAAACAAAATATCTTTAATTTCCAATAAAAATTGATATTAAAATATTTTTATAATTATTTGAAAAAACGCGTTATAAACTTTTTTATGGTTTTGAATTAAAACAGGTGCCATCTTTTACGTTATATAAAAATATAATATTTGATTGTATTAATTGATCTATTTTAGATTATTAGAGAGATTTAATATTATATTGATTTATTTAGTCTTAAATTGAAATGTATATTTTAAAATGCTTTTGTTTAATAAGCCGCCTTGCATTATATAATAATATTTAACCTTGTTGATTGTGTACGTGTGCAAGAACGAAACAATTCCCTCGCTTAACCATAAGTAGCTCCACGAAAATGGAGTGACCAAATTGCTGAACCATTGATGTGTAAGTCCATATGCTATTTTTAATGCAACTTGTGTTTTTTTATTTATTGGATCGCTTTTGTCATAGATAGCATTTGGTTCACTAAAAGACAAAACATAATATAATTATGTAAAATGTTCCTGAATACACAGTCTAAATCTATGTGTGTGTATACTCTTGAAGATCCGTCACTGTTTCTTTTAATGAGTAATTACATTATTCACGTAAGAGAATTATCAATAATGTAATTACCAACTGTCCCATGTTAAAATGTAAACCAAAAGAAGAGATACGATTCGTATATAAGTGCTGAGTCGTACGTTAAGAGAATGAAATCCTCCCTTAGAGAAAGTTGAACATTTTTATTTAAATGAAGATTTCTTTTAAATTATAACAGATATAAAAAATGTTCTCTCTCTAAATAAGAATTAAATAATTTTAAAAGTTTTATGAGTAACACACACACATACAACTTAGAAATTTTTTCAATTTTTTATTTTTTAAAAAGTTTTACAATATTCACTTTTAAAAATCTCGTTTTATTTTGGTCATTTTCTTTTACGGTGAATATCGTCTAACTAATGAAAAAGATATGAAAAAATGTTTTAATTGTATGTTAAGTTTTGATTAGTTTATAATAATGATAAAAAATTAAAAAAGAAATTTTTATATAAAAATAAAGAATAACTTTTTTTAGTTATTACTTAAACTACTTTTAAAACATTCAACTTTTACTTAAAACATTTCTTACAAGTACATAATTTACATTACATTTTTACTTTGAAAAAAAATCGACTCTTTTAAGGGAAGATTTAATTATTCCTTTAAAGTGTGACTCAGTACATATAGAAAAAAAATCGTGTATTTTTTTTATCTGTAATATATCCAAAGCGCTTATTAAAACCGAAAGGGGACAGTTGATTACACTATCTGACAAAATTTGATCTTTTTTTCCTGCTGCGAGCGGAGCCAGTATTTCTTAATAAATTCGAGGTCGCTGAATCCAAATCCGCCAACAAAAGATACTGAATCACATCAGGTTTTTTGGATCGAATAATATGAGTAAAAAAACAGCGTCTTTTTACTATATTTATTATTTTTTGTGGCCAAATAAAATTTTATTTTTCAATTTCATTAACGCCACTTTAAAAAGAGCTAATCTTCAACTTTAAAAGGAATTTCCATTTTTTACTATGTGATTTTTTTTATGGAGTTATGAATGTTTTCTGAAATGTAAAATGGCGGATGCAAATTAGCGGATCGAAATTGGAAAACAGATAGATTTGTATCAAAAAGTATTTATGTTTATCAATTTAATCCACCCCTAAGCAGAACAAGTCACAATAACGTCAAAATAACATAAATGATAGAAAAATGATTTTTAATAATCTCATTTTGGAGTCATTTTGATATTATTTTAATATCATAATGATTTGTTGTTCTGTTTAGGCCATGTTGGGTCTACCATTTCGAATTTCGTAATTTTGAATTACGGATTCATAAGCAGCGACTCCAAAAACCCCCGAATACCCACTTTGATTAAAATCAAGTCACTTTTGATATTTCACTCCACCATTTTGAATCCGCTGTTTTGAATTTCTTTATTTTAAGTTTTTCAGATTCAGTATCAGCGACGTCGAAAAAAAGCCTAAGATACTTTTTTAATACAAATCTATCTACTTTCCAGTTTCGATCCGCTAATTTATACCTACCATTTTACATTTCAGAAAACGTTCATAACTCTATGAAAAAAAATCGCACAGTAAAAAATGAAAATTCCTTTCAAAGGTGCTCTTTAGAATGGCGTTAATGAAATTGAAAAATAAAAATTCGGATTTAGCGACCTCGAATTTATTAAGAAATACTGGCTTGCCGCAGATTTTCTTATTGGACTGTGTTGTGTTTGGAATTCTTTAAACTCGGACAGCCACTTTTCACAATCCTGTATTGAGTTCAACTTTACACCACCAAGGGCGTTCGCCATGGACAAGAACAGGTGGTAATCACTTGGCGCTATGTCCGGGCTATATGGTGGATGCGATAAAACCTCCCATCCGAGCTCCCGTAGCTTCTGACGAGTCATCAACGAAATAGCGCGAATTTCGGCGTTAGTGAACTCCATGTTTACACGTCTATAACTGTTGAACGCAATATCCAAACTAATCATGCATAGCGTCGTTTTGTAGGTTATGTCAAGACCTTTGAAATGGTGTATAGTATTGCCAGATACGACCTCTGTAGCGCTTTGTACATAGCCGCGAAATTCAAAAGACAAAAAAGCGGAAGGGAGATATTTGACAACCTAATATATATATTTTAATATATCTATATGTATATGTATGTACAAATGAGTATAAGAGAGGAAAAAGAAGAGAGGATGTAATTGCGCATTAAATATTAATTATATTATTTAAAACGATCTAAACATGAAAAAGTATATTTTTGGATATCTGTAAGAACGATATTTTAAATTACTAAATTTTGAATGCTGAATGTAATATTGGCATATTATAGGTAGAAACAGTAGGCGCACTTTGTGTACGGCACCTTTGATCTGACTGCTAAACGACCGCCATGTTGTCAGCCGTGAGTACCCAGAGCTTAGTTTCCTTAGGTCCGATTTCACAATATGTATAGTTACCTAAAGATTAAAGGTAACCAAAAAATTCATGAATGAATTTCATTGATGAATCTGTTGGTAACCTTTAATCTTTAGGAAACCATAGTATATTGTGAAAAAAAAAACGGGCCTTAGACTGTATACCGTCTACGGTAGTATTTTTTATTACAGAGAGAAACTCATTGGTGCGCCATATTGTTGGCTGTGTGATAACACCATTTTTGACTGAGCCTACTGTTTCTATCTATACTGTCATATTAGCTAAATTTAATAGCTTAATAAATTTCTTTTTGATTATGTATATATTACCGATAAATGATAAGTCCCCAATTTTCCATACCGCTAACTGTAAAAGACGGTATCAAGACGTGGTCCATTTTCGGTACTTTCTGAGAACTATTAGTATATTGAATTAAGAATTCCACGATCTTTTCAGCAATACTCAGTCCAAATTTTACTTTCGATGTTAAAGACGATTTGCACCATATATTGATGGTCCCATTTCGGTTAGGAAAGCGGACAAAATCATTACGATCGTACATCATAATCGCCACGGTATAAGTAGACATTACAGGAGTGACGTAAAAGTGTGTCCGTAACATGCCATCTTGTTCCAAAAATTGTCCTAATATTGGCATATTCGATAATACGCTGTAATTCTGATAATGCTTTATGGAGATGTCAAAGGTGGCTTTTAACGCTGGTTCGTCCCAACATGGAAATATTCGTCTGGCTGCATTCGGCTTGGAATATGTTGCGGCTAACCACTTACTATTTAACAAAATGATGGCAAATTTATTACTTATGTAATAAATAACACAGGAATTTGAACTTAGATATTGTTTATTGTTATCTAAATTTATCTATCTATCTTTAGTAAAAATTTTGTTGAAAGTAAAAATCGAAATGTTGTATAGCCATTTTATTTGAAATTGAAGTTACTCTTCTGTATCATATTATACAATATATTGTATATGCAATTATTTTATATGTATATTATAATTATATTTACTGAAAAACGTTCTATGTACGACAACAAATGATAAAAGCAAAAAAAGATAGTAATGAAAAACATTTACGTTGCAAACATATTTTTTATATTTTAATATATATTTACTTACGTGTCGTTTTCTTTATCGTTTGCGTACGGGAATTTCATAAAACCTCTTCGCTGAGGTACAGGTTTAAGTAGATTACCAGAAAATTTCATGTTCAAGATGTAAAGACCGGGTAACAATGCATCATTGAAATTAAGTGTCAAAATGTTCGTTTCACTGTTATGAGTATGTTTCATCGGTTTATAAACTGTACTTTTGTTATTAATTAATGTTGTCGCCTCTTCATTAATTTCTAATTCTCTCGAGTGTAGGATTATTTCTGACGATGTATAACGAATCTCAATATTGACATTGGATTCACCATAAAAAGTAAAGTTGCCTTCCTCAAGATACAATGTCAGATTGATGTTATAGTGAACTGGTATCGTGTTGTTGGGTAAACGATCAATCATTTTTAAATCATTATCGATGCAAAAAACCGTTTTTGTGGCCAGTATTAGACCAATACTTAATAACAACTTTAGGAATATCATATTGAATTCTTCTTTTTATTGTATCTGCAATTTTTTTTATTAAAGGAAAAACAAATATAACATTATACAATGAAGTCTGTAATTATATTTGAAGTTTACATTTGTAAAGTCTAGAGCAATTTAATATTAGTTGTCATGTAAAAATAGAATGAATAGGAAAAAATTTTCGATTTTTATTAAAAGAGTTATATATAACATTTACTTCGAAAAAATTATGAATATATCGTTTTACATTTGATATTATGATATAATATATCTTATACTTTATACTTTAATGTATTGATCGTAATTAATTAATACTGTTATTGTTATTTTTATAGAATTCTTTCTTAAAAGGATTATAATAAAAGATTAATTTATTAAATTTAAAATATATTTTTAGATATTCAAGAAGCGTGTTTACATTTAGCTACATGGAATATATTTACCATCAGAAATAAAGAATATAAACATATAATTTTGGTATAAGAAAGGAGGGTATAACGTTTTTCACAATCGTTCGGGAATATTTATTTCTATATTTTCTTATGTATTTTTCTTTATGGAAACGGAAAATTATCATAATAACGATGCTACATTAAAAAAAAAATTGGTACATAAAATAAAGAATAAAATCCTTATTCACATTGTTATGAAATCGTTGTCACTTATATGCTTTAATCATTTAAAAAGTAATTTAGAATTGTCCCTGAACGCACTCACGAAGATAGTTGTACTCTCCTTTTATAGTTATATCGTTGTCTTTTGAAACTTTTGTATTACGTTTCACATATTTTTTTATGTAATGAGAAAGATAAACACTTATTTTGAACTACTATTATTTTTAATGTCTTATTTTTTTATATTACCTGTGCGCAGATTAAAATACAGTTGAGAGATTCGTAGTTGATTAATTTATAATTAATGACAGTTAATTATAAATTACAGTTATTACCATAAGTTTTTAATATCGGTAAAATTGTGTTGTCATTTTGCTATTTCGAAAGCTTCTCGAATACTGACTAGAGTATCAATATGTGTGATTTTATATATCATGTAAATACTGTGAGATTTTGTCAGAAAATATGTCCTACACACACACATACACACACATACACACACACACACTACACACAGATATCAATTTTGTATGAAATTCGATATATTTAGCTTTAATAATTGTAGTTATACAAATAAGTTGTATATAACTTATTACTCTTATAACTTATTATTAATTGCAGAAGATGGTAAATTATACTATATTACATATGTCACAATAATTTAAATTTAATACTCTCTATTTTTATATATCTAGCTATCTACTCGTTTGCCTATTTATGTTTCCTCTATTATATATGTATGTGCAATATGTGCACGTATACCTGATATGACTTAATTTTTTTTCAAAATTACACCTGATGCAAATCACTGTTTAAAGAATTATTTTTGCAAATAAATGCATTTTCTTCTTCTGTGAAATTAATTTGTTTAAAATAGACAAAGTATACAAAGTGTGAGACGAAGGAAATATAAGTTATGAACAATATGAGATATATATTGGGAATCTATAGAAATAATAATTTCTATTTAAATGAAGCCTTTTATTACAGCCAACATTTTATTACAAAATGACATTATTTCATATCTTCTATTCCAAATAATCTAAATCAACACCTATAATAATAATAATAATATAAAATAGTAAATATAAAATAGTAATAATAATAATGCTATAAACAATTTAACTATTTGTATTAGAAAGCAATTACTATATATATAATATCTAGAAAATATTATAAATTTATCACTTGAGACAATTCAATTATAAGTATTCCGAACCGAATGTAATAAACCAGAGTTACAGTGTTTATAAAAATATCTTACAAACGACATCAAAGAGTCTAATATATTATATAATATAATTATTTGTCAATGAGAGAAAATTAATGTGTTAAGATTTTATCAATAGCTTTCCCAAACTACAAATAAAATACAAAATATCATAAAATTGAAAAATATTAAAAATATTTAAAAATAAGTTATTTACATTTTGATATAATAAATAAACGTATAATAAACAAATATAATATTATTATTAAAAAGTTAACATAGGTAAATATAAGTTTTGCTTCAGATTAACTTTTTATTATAGTATGACTTCTCTCTAGGTGAATATCTTGAAAATAAATTCTCGTTAAAGTAAAATTTTTTGAAGTCAAACTTCCTTTTAATATCGTGTATGACTTTCCAAAGATATTCTTTACTATAGTCTATTAATTTTTTAATTTCACACAAAGTGTTTGGATGTTGTTTGAAATTAGTTTGTGAGAATTTTTCCACCTGAAACAGTTCAAGATACTGAATAAATAAAAAAAATTATTTTTATACGCAGCAATTCGCCGCGCGTACATTATAATTTTTAATTTAATATAATATTAAGATAAATATATAATATTAATATGATAAATATATAATATTAATATGATAAATATATAATATTAAGATATATTGGCATGTATAAAAAATATATTAAATTCCTTAACTGTGGAAATGTACGCCGTAAAAGGATTGTTCTTTATTTGAGGAAAACCACAAGAATCGAATGAATTATTAATCCACAATAGGATGATTTTCTCGAAATTTTTCTAAACTATTTTCTGTTAAATCACGGTGTAATATTAATTAATGAATTACAAATATTCGGTTTATATTTTATAAATTTAGCACACATCGATTTTACACTTTATTTTATAATATGGTTTTCCTCAAAAATATAATGCATGACCTTTATATGTAAAAATACTGTTAATTATTAATATTAATTTAATTAATATTAATAGTATAAAGTTGTATAAAGTTGCATTAATTTACAATTTCTCATGTGAAACGATCTTTGTTTAAAGCTAACAAGAAATTCCAATAATATTGTAGCAATATTTGCAACGTTCTAACAATTTTACAACGTTGTAGCAATAATAATTGCTACAGGATTTCGATTTTGGTAGCCAATAGATCAATAACTATGAATTTAGAATTATAAAATTTACCTTGTCAATTTGTTTAAAAAAATAAACATTGTCAAGAATAAGTTTTATCACTGCATGTGTACTAAGTGATCTATAAAAACAAAATAACATGTTCATATTAACAAATTTTTATGATTAAGGAAACAGTATAATAGACATTTACGAAGAGAAATATTATTACTTAGGTTTTATAGCCTCAAAATTCTTTAATATGTACTTAAGGATTTTATTTTTGCGCACATGCCGCTTAAGAATATATTTGAAGACACGAGAATGGTCATTATCTTCAAATAATGAAGTATTGAATGCTAATATGTTTAAATAGTTAATGATGATATTAGGATTTTCAGCGCAACTCAAGCCCATCAATAATCTTTCTGGTTTCTCTTTTAGTTTTCCTTCTAAATATAATTCGAGCATTTTATCCCAAGTAGTCCTATTGGCTGCCATCATACCGGTACAGTACATAAATTTTTCCCCTCGTAGAATTCTAAAGCATATATTGATTAAGAAAGGATACATATATTTCATTCAGTCGATTTTCTATTTTATCAAATTCTGTATTTTTATGTTCCGTATAATCCTGTTGCATATTTATTAAACAACTGTAAATTCTTAAAATTAAATTCTCATTCTTTCCTACTGTCCTACTCTGTAGTGTAAAACACTTGTTATATGTCATTACATAATAATACTACAATGAAGAAACAAAATGAAGAAAGATATGTCGGTAGTGTAACTTGTCATTTTATTGTACTTATATCTTTGCTTGTATGCAACGCCATATTTATTCTGTATGTATTCATTATATCATTATTAAATAAGAATGGAGATTGATTTATAGAAAGTTTAAGACGAATATTTGGTCTCGACAATTTAAAGAAATAAAGATTCGACTGTAATGTGTCCATATGCATGTGCATGCATGCACACAAATACAATTTACGAAATAATCATGTGTGTAAGAAATTTATTACTTGTAAGTTTTGGGATCCGCGAGATGTTTGCTTAATTTAAGCGCGATCAATTTCTTGCATTTCTTGTTATTAAGGTCACATGCACATTTTAAGGCGGTTAGCCTTATCATTTTTGTCACATCGTCATCATTACGATTTCCTACGTATTTTACGTGCCGAAGAAGCTTATGGAGGAGTTTCCTGTAGCGTTTCTATAAATCATGAAGTAATGTATTTGGTTTAAGGCACCTCCAGACGACATGGCCAATGTACAATAATTTTACGCACATTCGCTAAATATTGGTGTATATTTATATTGATAATTATGCATGCATGTCGCGCGCGCGCGCGTGTGTGTGTGTAATATTTGCTAATTTGGCGTATTTATATATACAGACAATATAGTTTGTATTACACATATTATATTGTTATATATAATATTTCGAATTGCGCCATATTATATCTTTATACATTTGTGACAGTGATTTCATGTAAACGATAAAATATACGTAATTTGCTGGGCATTTAATGTTAATTGGAATGGATATTATGTGCTCACAAACATATGAAATTGTAGCCCTTCGTAATTGTATTTTTTATTGTATATTATATTTAATACTTTATATTGTTCTTTTTTTACTGTATTTTTATTTTTATTTTTTTAATATTATAAGCCATTGCTATATGAGAATATCATATATGTATAAAAAAATCTTTGCTCCAATTATATATTATATTACTTGCAAATAGTATACCTTTTCTACATGTTGGCTTTTAAAAAAAGTGCAAATTTAAGAACCAATTTGTAGTACGAAAAGAAGTTAAGATTATTCGCATTACTTTATATAACTTGAATTATATAAGGTCTTACCTTGACATGTTTCATTTCTGGCAGTAAAAGAGGCTTCGGCATAGTTTGTATAATATCTAACAATGGTTGCCATGCTACACCATTTTTATCTCGCTTGAGATAGCTTACCAATTGAAGGAATAAGTAGCCACCTATTCGATCATCCACTACCATGGCATGCGAATCAGCAATGATTTGAGCACGATTAAGAACGTGTATATTCGCATACTTATTAGTATTTAAGTAATATGCAATTTTTTCCCAATTCTTGGTATCGTAACTAACACGATAGTATCCTGTTGCATTATTGATAGTATGTATTATTAAATCTTTTTAATGAATTTGAATTTATCAAGATATATTTTCAAATATCCATTTTAACTTTTTTTAATGTAACACACAAATGTAATATATCATATACTAATATCACAACGAAGTATAGCAGTTATGGATTATAAATCATTTTACATTAATTAATATTTGGCAAAATTTTAAAAAATTGAATACATAAATTCCTTTTAAGCTCTTATAAATAAAAAAATACATGCAAATATTTTTAGTAAAAATTTTCGTAATGATAGAATAAAATAAAATAAATAAAAAAAGATTAAATTTTTTTATACATATACTTACCACTAAGTTGCAAATTAACAATAATCCAATCATCTGAGTTAATTACAAAGCTTATATTATGTTGATCTGGTCGTAACCAATAACGAGGTACAGTATTGGAGAAATCCGGATTAGATTGCGTAGCGAAAGTTATAGGGATCCACCATTTAATAGTTTCGTCCTCAGTCTCACCATATTGCCGGACACATGTTTGTGATATTGTTACTTCTCCAGTTTCGTAATTTCGCTCCACATGTACAAAAGGATAACGCTCTTGGTTCATCCAAGTATCCATCACTTCTTTTATTGTGTAGTTTTCGTGCGGAATATCAGATTCGTCTAGAGCGCTTTGCATGGCGCTCCACAAATCGTTCGGAGTGGCCGTGCTAAACTGACTACAAATTTGACAAACATGGGGTAATGTATATTGACTTTTAAAGAATCTAAGTAAATACATATTTAATGTAATTCGATATATAGATACATGTAAAAACTTATAATACAATTTAAAACTGACATATATTAAATTATAATTGAATAAAAACATTAAAGACTCTATTTATAATACGCTTTTATCATATAGTTAACGTTACATATATTATAGAAATTCATATAAAAATGCGTATTTATATGATATATATAAGATAAAAGTGCGTTCTAAAAGCTGACCAAAGTGCCTATATAGCCTACAATTGAACAACAATAATCGAGCACCTAAATTCTGATGATGCTATATATTTCATTTATGACTATATTACATGTATTATTATACTTATAATATTTAATATTATGACATATAATAATAATAATATATAATGTTACATTAGACACACTTACTGTTTGACCAAATATGTAATGAGACCCTTTCGAAATACTTCAGCGGTAATTGTATTATGTAACATGCGTAATAAAACTGGCGCTGTGATAATACACATCATAAAATATCAATTAACAATACAATTTAAAAAGGATATATTTAAAGTACATACGTAATAAATACATGCTATGTAGAAAAATGCATCGCGCTAAAAAAAAGTATTTGTTGGCTAATAGCCATCTGTTTATCTTTTTCTTTGTGCTATACACATTAAGATTAAAGAATCTATAAACAGCAGTTTAATTTTATTTACGTTATCTTACGTTTTTTATAAAGTTCAGTAGAATACTGTGACGAAAGTTCATCTAGATTATCGCCAAGCGAAGCCTTCAATGTAACAGAATTCAATGAACCTGTATCTTGAAGTAAGCATCGATGTATGTTCTCCATGTCCAATAGATACATTACTTTTAATTTAAAAATCTGAAGAAAACAAATGCTTTGAAGTAACTGAATATTAAAAATTCTGAAAAACTTGCATTAGAAATAAAAACTAATTCGTTTGCCACTTCCAGAAACAATACTATTTTACATTTCATATAACACGTAGATTATATTAATTCTTTTGTTTAATATTTTGCAAAAAGAGACAGCAGTATCTCATTTAATTATTTTAAAAAATATTGGAAATTATTTAATATGAAAAGACATTATTTAATATGAAAATAAAATTGAGATATAAAAATACAAAGTGTTGAATTTATTATTTATTTTCTTAAATACTAAATGCAGCGGATGCAGACAATAAAATATTCATGAATTTTAATAAACTATTGTAATATTCTTAAGTGATTCCTAAATATCCCAGTACAAACACAATATTACATGTAACATGTTCATGTTACATGTGCGTTACATGTAGCATTGTGTTTACTGGGATGAAAGTAAGTGTTCATCAAATATAAAAAAATTAAAATAACGGATCTTTGTAAGATAGTTATTTATAATATTTATTAGAGATTATTTAATATGAAAATAAAGTAAGATATGAAAATTCTAAAGATTAAATTTTATTATTTTATTAATTTCTAAATGTAGCGAATGCAGAGAATAAAATATTTTTGAATTCTATAATAAAATAGGTAATTACAATAGTCTTACGATTTCTGAATACGAAAGTAATGTTCAGATACAAAAAACATTGAAATCTTTAATTCAACAAACACGAAAAACAAATATCTTTTGTTTTTAATAAAAATTTATATTAAAATATTTTTATAATCCGTTCCAATAAACGTTATGTGCATTTAGTTCCATCTTGATATATTTTACGAAGATCTGGTATTTAATTGTATTTAATATTGATATTATTCTATACTGAGATGAATGATTTATTTGAAAATGAACAAATCAGAAACAATCAGAAAATTCTGATTTAATTAATCAGAATTCCGGTTATCTCAAACCCAGTGAGAAATGACAATGGAATCGATGTCAAATCGATGTCGAATTTGATGATTTTGACATCGAATTGACATCGATTTGATGTCGATTCTATTGTCGTTTCTCACTGCGTAATTTTATAGTAGATTTAAGAAAATTTTTTCAATGTAATCTTAAAATAAAATGTACTATAAATTTTTTTTTTCAACAAACAACCTTACATTAATAATATTAATAACATTCGATAACCTTTTCGATTACGATTTTTTGGATGAACGAAGCAATTCCTTCACTTAACCACAGGTAGGGCCACCAAGATGGAGTGACTAAGTTGCCAAACCATTGAAGTACAAGTTCACGTGTTATTAACAGTGTTATTGAAATTTTTTTATATGTTGGATCCCTGCTGTTAACGTAGATAAGATTTGATTCTCTGAAATACAGAAAATAACATGATATAATTATAATGTAAAATATCACTGAACGTGCAGTCTAATGAGTTAAATCTGAGTAATTACAGTACAATTACGTTATTCATAATTCTCTTACGTAAATAATTCGGATATTTGAAATTTTTTCTTTTTGTACACACACACAAACACACATATAGTATATATAAGTATATATACATATATATGTAGGGATATACATATATACATATATGCAGGAATGGAAAGTAAAAACACCGTTATTTTTGCCATTACTTTTTATAATAACAATTTAATAGTAACGTTACAATTTTTATGTCGATAACTTTAAGTGAAAACCAAAGGTTAGGAAAGTCACTTTTGAAAAGTAGCTTATCATTATTACGTTATCTATTGAAAAAAAGTAAGTCATTAGTTCATTACTTGTAACGCGTCGACGCGTTACTTTTATGCTACTTTAATTCGTTACAAGTAATGTTACTTTTCTTAACGAATAAATTTTTTCAAGAAATAACGCGTAATGGTAAAGATGTATTTTTTTCATAAGTGTCTTTTCCATTATCTTTAACTTACAGTTAGTTGTCGTCATAAAAAATTACAAAGTATTAATAAAAAATTACCAAACTGTTATTATAAAAAGTAACAGCAGAAATAATGAAGTTATTTACTACCTATCTCTGTGTGTATAATATATACATATATGTTTGTACAAATATACATATATGTGAGCTAAGGAAAAAAGAGAGATGTACTGTATTAAATACGTTTCAATATATTATATTATTTAAGATAATCTAAACATTAAAGTATGTACTTTTCGGTTATTTGTGCGATAGACACGTATCTTAAATTACTAAATTTCGAATACTGAAATTAACATTTATAGTTTTATAATAGCTTAATTAATTTTTTATGAACTGTGTATATTACTCATAAGTGACGAGTCCCCAATTTCCCATGCTGTCAATTATAAAATTCGGTATCACAACGTGATCTATTTTGGGTATCTTCAGGGAACTATTGATATATTGAATCAAGATTTCCGTGACCTTTTCAGAAGTATTGTATGCGAATCCTAGATATGATGACGAAGCATTACGACACCAAAATGTATTGATGGTTGTTTCATGTACTGCTGACGCAAAACTGATGTATCGTAACATCGCAATCGCTACGACATAAGTGGACATTATAGGAGTAGTCTCGAAATATGTCCTTATCATATTTTCTTGTTCGTAGTATGTATCTTGTATTGGCATATTTGATAGTACCGTATATTTTTCATGATGCAGTACGGAGATGTTGAAAGTAGCTTTTAATGCTGGTTCGTCCCAACATGGAAACATTCGTCTGGCGTTATTCAGCGAGAAATGTGTTACAGCTGTCCATATACTGTTTGATAAAATGTATTAAATGATAGCAAATTTTCCACTTATGTCATCTAACTTAAAAATTTAATAAGTATACTAATTATTGTTTACTGCCATTAGTATTATTACACGTAATAATAATTTTGACAAGAGCAAAAATCAAAATACTGCATAGCCGTATCGTTTTAATTTATTTGAAATTGAAGTTACCGTTTAAAGAGTATTAAAATATACATAATTAAAATGTACATATATGTGTACCATATTATAATTATGTTTTACTGGAAAACCTTTTTATGTATGGAAAAATAATAAAAGCATAAAAAGGCAATAACAAAAGCTATTTATTATATATATATTTGCAAATATATTTTCATGTTTTAATATTTACTTACTTCTTTTCTTCAAGGACTGTATACGAAAATTTCATAAAACCCAGTTTTTCGGAAGGCTCTGATAAATAACCGACAAATTCCATACTCAGGTTGTACAAACCGGGTGATAATACATCATTGAAATTCAGTGTCAAAATGTCGGTTACATTGTTATGAATATGTTTTATCGGTTTATAAACCGTACCGTTATCATTAATCAAAGTTGTCGCCGTTTCATTTATTTCTAATTCTCTCGAATGTAAGCTTATTTTTGACGATGCATGATTACGAATCTTGACTTGGACATTGGATTTACCGTAAAAAGTAAAGTTGCCTTCCTCGAGATACGCTGTTAGATCGATATTATATTGAACTGGTATCGTATTCTTCGATAATCGTTCAATAATTTCCAAATTTTTACCGATGCAAGGAATCGTTCTTATGGCCAATATTAGGCCAATATTTAATAACAACTTTAGAAATCCCATATCGAATCCCTCTTTTTACGTATCTGTGATTGTTCATTAAAGAAAAAATAAAACAATACAAAGTTATTGTAATTTAATATGAATTTTTACATAAAAATGAAAAGAATTGGAAAAAATAATTTTCATATTTTTTTATTATAAGAATCATATGTATTTAATATTTATTGAGTATACTTTGATGTACTCGCAATTAATTTATCTTGTCTTTTTCATAGGATTTTTTCTTAAAAAAGAAACAAAATAAAAAATTGATTTATTCCATTTATAAGGTAATTTTAGACATCTATGTAGCGTGTTTACATTTAACTATAGTGAATATTTGTTATCAAAATTTAAAAAATGTTAACATATTGGATAGAGCGGGGCTATTCCGTCAGCGAAAATTTACGATAGCAAACAAAATCTCTCTACTGTGACGTGTTTATAATTACATTATAATGATTGCTCCTTGAGAGTACAAGCACAACTTTTAAATAATCGATATAATTATGCTCTTCAGAAACATAAACATAATCGCGAGAAAAAAGACGAAAAAGCCACATTCTATATTTTTGTGTAAGATTTGAATTGTTTAGTTATTGATTAGAGCAATTATTTAAAGAACAAAAAGTTTAAATCTGTTTCTTAATTCGATTTAATCATTCTGATATATTTTCAACTAATATCATATTTATCGTTTATTAAGATTTTCTTAAGAAGGAAGATTTTGCTCCCGGATGTATTAGATAGAATTTTAAAATTATAATAATTATTTCTCTGCGCAGTTTTCAAATTAATCAAAAAAATAAAAATATTGATTGAACTAATTTTTAATTTATTTTTAAAATAAATTATTAATGGAATTATACACAAAAAAGGTATTTTACAGCTGTTATTTATGTGTTATTTTTGCACAATATATATTTATCTGAATACTTTCTTTTTATCATTTTTGTAAAGTATTTTTTAAATATATGTACATATGTAGAACATAATAAGTATAAGAAATAATTAACATTATTTTAAAGAACAAAAATAATAAAAAAATTGAAAAAATATTTTTTACGACTTACTTTATATGTTACACGTTTGTGTAAATAAGAGTACAGTTGATTCGCACTAATTATAATTGATTAATTATAATTATCGATCTTTTAATATCACAGATACTTCAGCATATCTGCGCGATGGTCGTCTTGCTCCAAAGATTCCCGAATAATAACTACAATGTCTCTACGTTATTGTGAATATGTCACAATGCGTGTCAATATAAAGATGACCTTTACTAAATTTTGAACTGTGAATTTTTGTTCTCAATAATAATGTTGAGACTTCTAATGCGGTATTAATAAATCATAGTCGGATCTTATATTTAGGACCTTCTCTACAGTTTTAAGATGTCATGAATCAAACACTTAAACTGCATTAGCAGCTTAAGAAATTATTTAAGACGACTTTAAAATAAGAACCGATTCTAAATATCGACCATAAAGTCCTCGAGTTACAAACAATTGAAAATGAAAAGCTCTGCGTAAGGAAATTCAATAATAATAATAAATATTTAATAAATATAAAAGTAACATAACACAAGATTACACGCTACAAATATATTTTAAGAAGTTCTTACATTTTAATAGAAAATTCATTACGTATTTTTCAAGATGTCATTACTTGAATTCGACTCTTTCAAAATTTCCTGACATATATTTAAGCATCTGATTATTGCGTAAATGATTAATTACCAGATTGAAAAAAGATGAAATATGATTTTTTATTCGCAATGTCAAATATTGTCCGACAGTATAACATTCAAATAATTGATTATAATACGAAAATAATAATTAGAGCAAGCTAAAATTTTCTAAAAGATTTTTGACACGTATTTGCATATCTATACAAATTCATTGTTTATTCTATGTAAATCTAGTATAGTTGTCATTAAACTGAAACAATATGTCCATTTTTGCCATTAAGATAAAAGCCTAAAATAAAAAAGTTAAAAAATGGGAATGTATAAAGGGAAGAATAGAATAAAAGTTACAAAAATATAAATTAAGCTTCATTATTTAGTTTCTCAAGATATTTATTTTCTCCTTTTTTTCTCTATTCCTCTAACTTTGCTCTCTCTCTCTCTCTCTCTCTCTCTCTCTCTCTCTCTCTCTCTCTCTGTCCGGTTATCTACTAGTCTGTCGATTCATGTTTCCTCTATATTACTCTATGGTGTTTATGCATATGTCTGATATATTACTTTCTCCCGAAGGCTGCAGCTGTTGCCGATCAATGCTTTATGGAATTATTCTTGCAAATAAACTTCATTTTTTTCTTCTGAGAAGTTAATTTGTTTAAAGTAGAAAATGTGCAAATGTAAGCAAAAAAAAACGAAAGTTATGAATAATATAAAATTATGTATAGAAATGCTTTTATTGTACATATTATAATAATAACTATTGTTTAAAAGAAGATACCTTTATTATTTAATTGACCTTTTAATACATTGTGACATACATTATTATTTCATATCTTTTATTCTAAATCAAACATCTATAAAGATAGTAATAATAATAATAATAATGCTATTAACTGTTTAGGCATTGTTATTAGATAACGACATTATTATATTATATTATACATATAATTGAGAAATATATATTGTATAATATATTTGTAAATTAAGTTAATTCAATTACAATTGCTCTGTATCAAATGTAATTAATAAACCAGAGTTTTAGCGTTTATATAAAGATATTTTAAATGCAAAGAATTTAATATATTATATAATATTATATAAAAATTATATTTGTCAAAAGACTGTTACAGATGATTAATCTGTCAGATTTTATTAATGGTTTCCCCAGATATAAAAATATTGAGAAGTATTAGAAAATTAAATTAAAATAATTTAAAAAATGTTTACAAAATGGTAGTGTAATAAATAAAAATAATATTATTAAAAAATTCATATAGAGGTAAATATGTTTTGCATTACATTTCATCTTTTTGATTGATCGGATCAATGATCACTTCAGGTAAATCTTCTTCTTTGTAAAAAAACCACTTTTTAATATAGTTTACGATTTGCTGAAGAGATTCCCTACGCTTTTCTATCAATATTTGAATTCCATATAAAGTGTCTGCATCTTGATTAAAATTAGTTTCTGAGAACGTTTGTACCTGGAATAGATTAGTTCGAGATATTGAATAATAATAATTCATTTTTGTACAGCAATTCGATACAATATATAATTTTTAATTTAATATAATGTTAAGATGAATATACGGTGTAAACAAATAATATATTTAACTTCTTAGATGCGAAAATAGGCATTATTTTTTATGCGTATATATATTATACATATTTGTATATATATGTCGTAAAAATTTTTCTTGAGGAAGCCCTCCTCAAGAGAATCGAATGTTTATTAAATCACGATAGGATGATTTTCTTGAAATTTTTTTTAGGTTATTGTGATTAAATCATCGGTCTAATATTTTATTAATTTGTGAATTAAACAAGTTCAGTTCATATTATAAAGCACGCGCTTATTTTATATTTGATTTTATAATATGATTTTCCTTAAAAGTACAAAAATGCAGTTTAAATGTGCAAACACATAAAGTAATTATTAATATGAATATTAATTTACATAAAATTAATAATAAGTTATATAAAGTTGAATTAATTCATAATTCCGACTGAGGAATAGTTTTTGTCATTTGAATCGTAACACAGAAAATTTCAGTAATATTGCAACAACATTTGTAATATTTTCGCAATATTGCAGCTCAAGTAGTACAGCAATGCTTGCAAAGCATCATTATATGAGCGCTTTTTTAGCGCTTTATTAATGCTTTGTAAGTGCTATGTGCTACTTGGGAGTAACATTGCAATACTGCAGCAATGTTGCTATAAAGTATTCTGTGTGGGCTATAAAGCGCTATGAGAAGAGATTAATAAGTATGTGAATCATAAAATTTACCTTGTCAATTTGTTCGTTAGAATAAACATTCCGAAGAATAATTGCTATCGTTGCAGTTATAGTAAATGATCTATACAAAGACAAAATAATATGTGTAGAATTATTAAATTTTGATAATTATATAAAGAAAAGAATATATAGTGTACATTTACGAAGAGAAATATTTTAATACCTTGGTTTTATAATCTCAAAATTTTTTAATACGTAGTCACGGATTTTGTCGTTGCGCGCATAATTCTCAAGAACATTTGTGAAAACAAGAGAATGCTCATTATCATGAAATGAAGTTTTCAATTTATATATAATATTTAAATAATTGATGATGATATCAGGATCTTCTGCGCAAGTCAAACTTTCTAATATTTGTTTTATAGATTTTTCCTCTTTTAGATCATTTTTTAGATATAATTCCAACATTTTATTCCAAGTAGTTCTATTGGCTGCCATCATACCAGTACAATACATAAATTCTTCGTCATGTAGAATTCTAAAATATATATCTATAATCAAGCTATCTATAATCACTGCTATATACATTTCATATGTATAACGACTATCTATTTTAATAATTGTAAGTTTTGTATTTTAATTTACGTATATGTATTATTAAACCTTATTTCGTAAAATTAAATTCCTGTTCTGCAAATTCCTATTCTTTCAATCTTATAAGCAACAACATATTTATTACTTCGTTATTAGAATAAGAATGGGGAAGAAAATGAGCTCAGCGATTCGAAGAGATAGAGAGTCAGTTACAATATATCCATATATATGCGCATGCGCGCGTGTCCCCCCCCCCCACCCACACACAGAAATACAATTTACGGATAATTACGAGTAAAAGAAATTTACTTGTAAGTTTTGGGATCCGCAAGATGTTTGCTTAATTTAAGTGCGGTCCTTTTCTTGCATTCCTCGTGACCAAGAATACATGCCCATTTTAAGGCGCTTAGCCTTGTCAGTTGTGTGATATCATCATCATTAGGATTGTCTACGTATCCTACGTACTGAAGAAGTCTCTCAAGGAGTTGCACTATACGTACCTAATAGAAATTATAAATTAATGTATTTATTTTATATTGGTTCATTGTGATACTTGTGGAAATACATAATCTACATATAAAAATATACATATATAATTTTGTTAGTGCTATATCAATAAATTCAATAATTGAGATATGTATGTGTGTATACAACATATTATATCGTAAATATATATATATATACAGGGTGTTTCATTTTAATTGCCACACTAAAATATCTCGAGAAGGAGAAGACGTACGTGGAATTAAAAAAAGTTTCAAACGAAAGTTTTAATAAAATAAAAAATATTGTATTATAGTGTTTTGAAAAGCTTTTGAGGTAAGCTACGAGAATATGCAATGAAAAATGAGAGGTTCTATTTAAAAAATTTAAAGTGACCTTACTCTGACCTTGACAACGTCACCCAAGATCAAACCTATGGTACCATCTTATGTCCCTCTCAAAGTCACATAACTTTTGTCTGAAACTTTCAATTGTATATAGAATACTTTATATAATTGTTGTTCTTTAACATATATTTATATATCTTTTAATACTATGAACCTTCGCTATAATATGAAAATGTCAAGTACAAAAAATCATAGTTTTAATTATAATATATTACATACAAATAAACAATACTTTTATATGTGTTTACTTTTAAAAGAAGTTCGCAAATTTTACGAGAATATAATTAATTTGTGATAAATTAAGATATCGGCATTTTACGACTTTACATAACTTAAACTATAAAATCCTACCAGGGGCGTTTTTAACGTCGGTGCAAGCGGTGCGGTCCACCGACGGGCCCCCGCAAGTTTCGGAATCCGCGGTCTCCCACAGGCCCCGGTGCGTGGTGTGAACATTTATGAATTTTTTTTAAATATAAAATTATAAGGAAAAATACATTTTAAATGAGGCACTCAAATATTTATTCGTAATAAACGAATTTTCCTTATATTTGTTTAGCTTTAAGCTAACACTTTTATGTGAAAATACTCGCAATACTTCGGAATCGAAAACTGGAAGAACAAGAGAGGAACAAAATGTAATGGTCAACTAGAGTGCGTTCCACTTAAAGTTCGCATCGCTTGTGTATATCTAACATTTGATAATATGAAATGATGCTCGCAAGGATTTATAGATACTTCATCTTCTACCATTTCATCGTCGACACTTGTTCGTAGTCGAAAAGATATGCTGTATAGAAATTGCTTTGAATCAATAGTAATGCCCGAGCCCTTTCCATTTTATCCTTGCACCGACGTTTTAACAGTCCTAAAACCGCTATTGAATCCTACCTTAACATGATGGAATTCTTGCAGAAAAAAAATCTTTGACTTAGTTTCTATCATTTGAAATAATGGTTGCCATGCCGCATATTCTCTCTCTCGAGAGAGATAACTTATCAGATGAATGAATAAATATCCGTTGTTCATTTGATCAGCAAACACCATGGCAAGCGAATCAGTAATGATTTGAGCACGATTAAGAACGTGTATATTTTTATATTCTTTACTGTTTAAATAATGTGCAATTTTTTGATAATTCTTGATATCGTAATTAACACGATAATACCCTGTTGAATTTTTATTACATTATTAAATCCTTTTATATATTATTAAATCCTTTTAATTGAATTTATCAAGATATATTTTTATATATTAAAAATTATTTTGCATTAATTAATATTTGGCGAAATTTGGAAAATTTAATCAAATTTCCTTTAAACTTAAACTTTTTTATAAATAAAAAGATACATATAAATGCATTGAATGATGTAAAACTTTTGCGATGATAGAACAAATAAAATAAATAAAAAAACATAAGTTCATGCTTACCAGTTTGTTGTAAGTTGATAATAATCCAATCATTTGGATTAATTGTAAAGCTTATATTATATTGATCTGGTCGTAACCAATAACGAGGTACAGTGTTGGAGAAATTCGGATTGGACTTCGTAGCGAAAGTTATAGGAATCCACCATTTAGTTTCCCCAGTATACTGCCTGATACATGTTTGTGAAAGTGTCACTTGACCAGTTTCGTAATTTCTCGCCACCTCTACAGAAGGATAACGCTCTTGGTTCATCCAAGTATCCATCACTTCTTTTATTCTATAATCTTTGTGTGGGACGTCAGATTCGTCTAGAGCACTTTGCATGGCGCTCCACAAATCATCTGGACTGGTCGAACTAAATTGACTAAATTTGAAAAATGACAATTGTCAGTGGTTGCAGTCATATCGAAGAATATACATTGACTACGGATTAAAGGATTTATGCGAATATTAATGTACAATTGAATGTAGATACATATGTAAAAAAATGTTAAATGTAATCTAAAACTAACTTAAATTGAATTATAACTGAATAAGAAGTAAGAAATGTATGACCTATAATTGAATAGTAATGAAATATTGAGTACTTGAATTCAAATTTCTGTCATATTATATTTTTTAATATGGATACAAGTACTTATTATTATATCCATGTACTTAATATTGTAATGTATAATAATTTCAGACTACATTATATACTTACTGCTTGGTCAAGTATGTAATGAGACCCTTTCTAAATACCTCATCAGTAATTGTATTATGTAACATGCGCAATAAAAGTGGCGCTACGATAATACACCAAAAATGTGAATTAATAATAATTAATACATTCAAAGTACATATAAAATTAATATCTATTATATATAAATACTGCACTAAAGAAGAATTTGCTATTATAGCTTTCTGTTTCATCTTTTATTTCACGCTTGCATTAAAGAATCCATGAATAATTATTTAATGTTATTTACATAATTTTACCTTTTTTATAAACTTCATCAGAAAACAATAACTCCTTGTCGAGAGTATTGCCAAGTTTTAATGTGACAGAATTCATTAAACCTATATCTTTAAGGAAACAATGATGTATTTTCCGAATCACAAGAAGATCCATCATCCGCCAATCTTTGAAAATCTGAAGTAAGAAATGTTTCGCTGTGACTAAATATCAAAAATTCGAATTATAAATTCGCATTATAACTCGCATTATAAATACAAAACTAGTTTATTTGCCGAAAATGCTATTTTACATTTTATTACACCTAATTGTATTAACATTTTCAGGTCGAATCTTTTTTTCAAAGAGAGCATACCTAGTTTAATTATTTTTAAAAGTTTTTTAGAGATTACTTAATACGAAAAATATAAAAATCCAAAATGTTAAATTTTAATTCTAATGAAAATATTAGTGTTCTTACGATTCTTGTGATAAAAAAAAGTAAAATAGTAGATCTTCAATAGACAAATATATGTAGAAAAAACGAATGATCTTTAATTTTCAATAAGGATTTTTATTAAAATGTTTATATAATTATTTAAAAAATCGCACACTTTTTTATATATAATTCTATAAGTTAAAGCATGTCCTATTTTTTATTCAATTCCATCTTAAAAATATAGTATTTAATTGCATTTAATTGGCATTATTTTAATCTTATATTAAGAAGTACTTCAACACCTTTTTTATAATAATAACTTAGGATTAATAATATTGAGTAACCTTGTTTATTATGTACGTTTCGAAGAACGAAGCAAATCCCTCGCTTAACCACAGGTAAGACCACCAAGATGGAGTAATCAAATTGCCAAACCATTGATGCGCAAGTTCGTGTGCTACTGTCAACGCTACATCTGTTTTCTGATATATTAGATGGCTGCTGTCATCGTAGATAATTTTCGATTCACTAAAAGACACAATATTACATGATATAATTATGTAAAATATTCCTGAATATGCAGTCGAATGTTTTCCGAGTAATTATGTTATTCATAAAGCTCATACACGAATAACTTATAGTTTGGTTTCTTTCTTTTTATATACATAATACGTAAAATAGTATAATGTAAAATATTTATGGGAGTGAAAAGAAGGGGGAAATGTATTAAATACGTTAACTATTTATGACAATCTAAGCATGAAAACATGTATTTTTGAATATTTGTGAGATAAGCACATGTTTTAAATTCATAAGTTTTGAATGCTGAACGAAATTTTGACTAGCGCGCTGTAATAGCTTAATTAATTTTTTTAATTATAAATATTACTAGTAAATAATGAGTCCCCAATTTTCCATGCCACCACTTGTAAAACCTGGTACCAAAACATGGTCCATTTTCGGTACCTTCTGAGAACTATTGGTATATTGAATTAAGAACTCTATGACCTTTCCAGCAATATTATGTGCGAATTTTACTTTTGATATCAAAGACGACTTGCACCACATATTGATCGTTTCGTCCGCGTTGGGAACGCGGACAAAATCAGACATTACAATCGCTACGATATAAGTAGACATTATAGGAGTGATGTCGAAGTGTGTCCGCATCATGCCATCTTGTTCTAAAAATTGCTCTCGTATTGGCATATTTGACAATACACCATACTTCTGATGATGCTTTACAGAAATGTTGAAGGTAGCTTTTAACGCTGGTTCATCCCAACATGGAAATGTTCGTCTGGCACCATTCGGCTCAAAATGCGTTGCAGCTAACCATTTACTATTTAATAAGTATACTATTATTAAAATGATAGCAAATTTTTCACTTATGTCGATTAACATAAGAATTTTATAAACTTAATTACTTTTTATTGTTATTTATATTATCTTTAATACAAATTTTGTTAAAAGTTAAAATCGAAATACCGTATAACTATATGTCGTATATAAAATTGAAATTGCCCTTTTAAATATTATAATATGTATTTTATATACATATATATGTATTGTATATGCATGTATATACATATATAGTATATAATTATATATATATAATTATATTTCCTCTGAAGAGCTTCTGAAGTGTTGTAACAATAATAAAAACAAATGAAGATAATAACAAAAAACTTTTATTACGTTGCAAATAATTTTTTATATTTTAATATTTACTTACGTGTCTCTCTCGTTTCCTTTATCAATTGTGTACGGAAATTTCATAAAACCCGTTTGTCGAGACACAGGTTTAAGTAGATTACCAATAAATTTCATGTTTAGGACGTAAAAACCAGGTGACAATACAGCGTCGAAATTAAGTGTCAAAATGTTTGTTTCATCGTTATGAATATGTGTCATCGGTTTATAAACTCTATCTTTGTCATTAATCAATGTTGTCGCTGTCTCATTTATTTTTAAATCTTTCGAGTGTAAGGTTATTTTGGACGATCTATGACGAATCTTGATATTGACATTGGATTCACCATGAAAAGTAAAGTTGTCTTCTTCAAGATACAGTGTCAGATTGATGTTATAGTGAATTGGTATTGTATTGTTGGGTAAACGATCAATAATTTCTAAATTATTATCGATGCAAGAAACCGTTGTTGTGATCAATATTACGCCAATATTTAATAACAATGTTGGGAATCTCATGTCGGTTCTTTCTTTACTTATAATCTACAATTTTTCGTTAAATGTGAAATAAATATAATATTATACAATAAAGTCTAAAGTTATTGTAATTTATATATATAATGTTAATTTTTATATAATAATAGAAAGAAATGAAAAAAATAATTTTTGCAATTTTTATTAATATAGAATCATGTATAATATCTACTTTAGGAAAATTATGAATATTTTTTTACATTTGATATTGTGTAGGTGTAGTACTTTAATGTACTCGTAATTAATTAATCTTGTTCTTATTTCCATAGAATTGTCTCTTGAAAGAAACAAAATAAAAGAAATATATTCAATCTAAAAGAGATAATTTTAACATCTAAATAATTTTTCATATTTGACTTCATAGAACATTTGTCATTAAAAACAAAAAATGTAAACATATAATGTCAACATGAAAAAGAATTATTTAAATGCCTTTAACGGTCTAGCTAGATCTCAAGTGCTCTTGTATAATTCTATGTGATTTTATATACTACGTATGTAGTCCTTTAAACTGCGCGCCGAAATAATTTTCAGTCTTGAAACGCAACTCTATTAAACTGTCGCAGTAACCACGAGTTAAATTGATTATATAATAATTTAACAATTCGATGCTCTTACGCGTCTTACAACGATCTTAATATTGCTGAATGACATATTAAAATCTGTAAATAATTAATTTCTATTACAAAAAATATTATCTCGGCCGAGAGTCGAATCCGGATGTCTTGTGGTCTAATTTAAAGGCTTAAGGGCTGTGTACAATCAAGGAATAGGAATAGAGAATAAAAATTTCAACCAATCACAAATGATGCACTATAGAACACATAGTTTCTGATAAGTTGAAATTCTTATTCTCTGTTTCTGTTCCTATTTGTTGATTGTGCGCAGCCCCTTAGGACGCTCGCACGGAATCCTAGAAATCCAGGTTCGACTCCCATCCGAGGTCCGAAGTAATATTTTTCGCAATAGAAATTAATTATTTAGATATTAATATGTTATTCAGCATTATTAAGATCGTTTTGCGTAAGAGCATTGAATTGTTAAATTGCTATTCAATTTAACTCATGGTATTACTGCGGTAGTTCAGTAAAGTTGCGTTTCAAAACTGAAAAATTATTTCGGCGCACAGTTTAGAGGACTCCATACTTAATAAATTCACACAGAATTATACACTTATTCGAAAAATGAAAAATTTGAATCTATTTCTTGTTTCGATTATTTGACCATTCTGATATATATTTTTGTCTAATATCTATTTAATGTTTACTAAGAATTTGTTAAGAAATAAAATTTTCTTAGGAATTATTAAATACCATTTTAGAATTATAGTTGTCATTTTTCTCGGTTTTTAAATAGATATAAAAAGTAAAAGAGAGTGTAAGAAATAAATTAATTTTTAATTTATATTTAAAACACATTATTAATGGAATTGAATACATATGGTACATATACACACATACACACACACACACAGTAAACGTATTTTAAGCTATAAAACTCTTACTGATCTATTATTTTTGTGTATGAGTGTTCATCTTAATTCTTTTCTTGTATCATTTCTGTAGAAATATTCCTCAAACACAAGGATAAAATATTCACATTATTTTAAACAATTCACATTATTTTAAGGAATAAAAATAACAAACTTTTTTCATTATTAGATTATTTCTATCTATTTACCGATAATAATAATAATCTGATTTTTTGTTTAATTAAATATTTTTTTTATTTGAAACTCTATATGTGTGAAGATTATTTTGAAATTATATTAAGTATCTCGTTTTTCATTATTAATTGTAATGATAGGGGCAGAATATGTTGATTTATTTAAAAAAAAAATATTAATTATAAAAATTCACAATTTATAAGAGATTAGAAGATCTCGAAGAAATAGATTTAAATTTAGTCGTATTTTTGCCTTTTAAAATTATTTGAATTATATTTTATATATTCTTTTCATATAACACGCGTGAGATAAATACCCATTAAATTATTATTTTTAACGACTTACATTATATATTGCACCTTCGTGGAAATCAAAATACAGTTGATTCGCAGTAACTATAGTTGATTAATTATAGTTCTCGATTTTTTAATATTAGAAACATGTCAGCGTAATTGCGATGTCGTCTTGCCACCTCGAAAGATTGATCCCGAATGAGCATGTACAATGTTTTTGATGCTGTATGTAAATATGTCGTAAGGTCAACATAAAAAGTAATCTTTACCAAATGTTGAACTGTCAATTTTTTGTTCTCGATAACAAATATTGAGACTCATTGTATTGTGACTTATTTGAATTATAAATAATTAAAAATAAGAAGTTTTCCATAGAGAAACTATATATAATGATGATAATTTAATAAATATTAAAAGTAAATCAATTATGTCATAAGTTTCTATAATTTTTTGTCATTAGAATGATTAGTTAATTCCGTTGAATTTCAAATTACGTTAATGTGTTTTAACATTGAGACCTAATTGGGACGAAACGTATGTTGTAATTGTAATAAACTGTTTGTTTTTAACAACACAACATCAACACTTTGCTTGACTCGTAGCCCTATTCTTATTATATTGATTTTATAAATTATTTGAGCCGCTTTCTTATATTATTTTTAAATTAATAAGATTATTTTCGACAGTGTATCTCTAGTAGATCTTATTTTAACAGCAGAAATTTAATATTCAAGATTACATAAATATAATATACATGCATATAATGAGAATAGGAAAACTTATATATATTTTCAGATTTTTTGCGATATTTTTACGATTAGAAATAATCGGTTCAAATAATTAGAGCAATTGAATAAAAAAATGTATTTAATGATAATCATGCTGAATGATTATAAGATAAAGATTTTGATTTCTTTCATAATCAAATTTTTTTTCTGAAAAATGTATAACTAATTAAAACACATATGTTGTTAAAATCATATCGTATTATATTATAGGCATCTGATTTCTAAAATGTTTCATTTAAAACTACAATAAAATAAATTCAGTCTAAATAATTTTCTATAATCTATATCATAAAATTCGCGTTTAAAAAAAGAATAAATAACTGTTTACAATAATCAATAATTTATCTAATATATTGAGCATTGATACAATTAATTATTTATATTTTAAAATAGATTTAACTATGAGAGAAAATAAGGAAGAATTTCCAGAATTTACAAAAACAGAACGAAATTTTATAAAATGTCGAAAGTTTTCTTTATTATCTTCATTTAAATATATCGTTTTATTTTATTATTTTTTCTAATGTTCAAGAACAGAACGGAATGACATACACATGTTATTTTCAAATTTATTAAATATATTCAATAAATGCATCTCATAAAATATTACAATTGTATAAAAACAGTTTCTGTCAATTTTTCAAAAAATATCAATTGTATACATATATCACACGGATGTCCAAACATTAGCATTATCTTCTTCAATGAAGAAGAATTCAGAAAATTGATCACACTAAGACTGTACATTATAAAATCTTTTAGATATTATAATCCGGTAAAACATTTTTCATATAAGAATACATAAATATTGGCAATTTTATACAAAATGTTCACAAATTATTTTGTATTATTTTTAAAAAAAGACATGAAATATATGTTTCATTAGTGCAGTTTCACTAGAATTTAAAGTAGATTACACTAAATATTTCCTGTGTGATATTTTAATTCTTTCTATCGTTTTTTAATAATTATAAAATGTAGCAATGTGCACACACATTGTTTTTAGTAATTAAATTATAAATGAATGTAAAATGCATAGTAAATGCGTGAAGAAAGTGAAATTGTGTCAGAATTTAAAGATTTTGCAGAAGAACTACCTAGTTTGCCTTATGTTATAAAATTTATGTTATAATATATGTATGTATTATAAACTACGTAATCATATTAAAAAACACAACGGAACAAAATTGATAAACTATATGAAGGAAACTTAATGAGCAAAATTTGCGCTGTACAAAAACATATATACATTGTGAGATTGAGACAAATCTTTATAGGTTTCAGTATTGGCAATGTATATCGGAATACGACCTATAGCAGATCAAGTGAAACAAGTAGCAGAATCAACTGTATTACAAATTAGTTTGCGAGCAGACATAAGAAATGTATTATGATTATAACACTTGATATTATTATAATACAAAGTAAGACTTATATGATGGAAATACTGGAATATATTACTACTATGTGTGATGAGGCTAGTAATACATATCAATTCTATCAGTTAAGTCTATATAAATAAGACTATACAGCTTGCAATTTTCCAAAGAAAATGTTTTTTTCTCTTGTATAATTTCTATTTGTATATATAAATTTGTACATATAAATAAGAAAAATAAACAGTAATTAAAAATACATAAAAATAAGAAATAAAAAATTAAAAGAATAATTTTCGCATCAGTTTTTTTTATAAAAAATAAAATAAAGAAAGAAACGAGATCAAATTTCTCGTACATAATCATTAATCATATATATATAACAATCGTATCAAAAAGTTACATACATATTATATATAAAATATTATATATTATACAATATATTATATAATATAATCGTAATTTTATATTTTTGTAAGAAAAAACAATACAAAAATTATTTTTCTAAATATTGAATCAATCAATTATTTTTATTATCATATTTTTATATAAAAAATTTTTTACCGGAACTGTAAAAGACTTGTACATTATTTGTGCTATTATTCTTTTTATAGTTTACGAACTTATGTATCTTATCTTAGTTTCGACAATTCAAAATAGTTGATGTATTAAATACAATACAAAAAAATTATTATTTGAAGTTACATGTGCTATCAAATGCAATTTTGTATATTACATATAAAGAATTAATAATTTTATCTAACTTGTTTATCTCCCAAAACTCATTTGTGTATTTGCAATGAATCGATTAATGCATTTGATTGCACATTTTTTTTTGCTTTATTTATTAAATCAATAAAAT